ATGTTAAGCATTTCGGTACATATATACATTTGTTATTGTGCAAATTACAAGACAGAGCTCAATAGACTAAAAGATATTTTTATTTTCCCCGCTTTTTATAGTATAGTAGGAAATAACAAAGTATTTCATGCATTGTTATCAGATAAAGTTATTATTTTTAATCGTTGCTTCGTTGCTATTCAAGGTGAAACTTTTCTGATATCCTTTATTCTCAGATATCTCGCCTACCAAAGTTCAAATATTTTAAGAATATACCAGCTATTTGCAAAGATTATTAACATGTATTATCTAAAATCGGGATACACGTATATTATTTCCAGCCTTATTTGCAAAGTTATTTTAAAACTTTGCACTTTTCATTACATATTATGCCTGGGAACCTCACACAGTATGGAAACAGTACTGAAAGATCGTAAATGAAATTGCGAAATTGTTAGTTGACGATACAAAGATATACCTTTAAAAAAATAGTTATTTATAAATAAACAATATTTCACACTCCATTTGTTATCCTAAACAAAGGAAAATTTATTTCAATCCTTCAGTTACGCAACGAAAAGTTCGTACAATTCTTTCAACAATGTTATTCAATTTTTCAACAGATTCACTTTATAGTGATTGACATTTATTATTTGTATTTTAGATTGTTGTATTGTTTCAGTTTTCTCGCCATTAAACTTTTTGACACCGAACTAATAACAATGTATTAGTAACGATTGGTTAAGCTACCACCTTGCAGTTGTATTTATATGGTAATTAACGGATTATAGTAATTACCATGGTTAATATTCTTACCGCAGAATTTACGGGGTTTACACTAATTTTCATCGAAACGTATGCTTTTATAAAAGTTTCAGAAATAGCAAAGAAAGAAAAAAAAAAATATACATTGGCTATGTAAATTTATACATACATATATAATACATACTCTTACAATTTATTTTACGTTGTACAATTTTAACGGAGAAGATAGTAAATATTTTATTTAAAAAACGTAACATTTACTATTAGTACAAAGAAAAATAATTTACATTCATTTGTTGCTAATTAAGTAAATAAATATAAATACAAACAGATATTTTCCATTATGGGAAAAATATTTTGAGTAATGTTTTTTCTACTTCCTTGTAAACAAGAAACTAAATTGCATTTAAGTTTACAGTCTTGTTTGTAGACATTTTGCTAAATTTTCAGATATTGTACGGAAATTTTGTTCATCTCGTTTCTGTTACATTATTCCTTTTCCTTAGTTTAATTGTCAACAAATGAATGTAAATCATCGTTTTTCTTTGTACTAACAGTAAATGTTACGTTTCTAAATGAAACAACGTAAATATTATTTATTTACTACTTTCTCTGTTGAAATTATACAACGCGAAATAAATTCTATTAAGGTGTACGGAGACTTTTTTAACTGAGTACACGTATACATACATAAGGTGAGTTAATTAAATTCGCTATTCAACATAACCTGTTATTTGCTGATTTTAGAGAAAAAAAAAAGAAACTGTTTTCTGTCATTCGATAGAGTTCATCGAATCCATTTTTTCCATGTCTTTTATTTCCCAAGATACAACAGATAACCTTGTATTTTTTGAATGATACTGCGGATTTTTTAGCACTATGCGTAGCCGATGGAAAGACAAATTCAATGATCTGTAACAAGGTGACCTTGAAATGACCTTCAGCTGATATATTTTCGAGGGAATGCTAGCAAGGACGTGGTGACAGTGCCGTAACTGTCACATTGTGACACTGATGCAGAATTACTGAGGTGATAGGTTATTACGGTTTCCAGTGATATTCAATCATTTTATTACTTATTTACAGATCATTAAATTCGCCTGTTTATCGACTATAACACAGTACTGGAAAAAAAAAATACGCGGTGCCGTTTAGAAAACTCAAGGTCACCTGCTGCAATACAAACGAAGCCTCGTCAAGTACAATGTATTTGATATGCAACGAGTTTTCCCTGAAATCAATAAATAAAAAGTTATTTCGGATAGTAATTGGTACATGACTCACCCGTATGTATACTACTCGTGTAATTTAATTTATGTTACTTCGGTCAGTCGCGTTATTTCAGTTACTCGTCGTTTATGATCTTCTCTTAGCAAACCGAGACGAAAAATAAATTAAAGTATACCTCTGAAGAAGAAAGAAATTCGAATTTCTTTTGTTCTCTTTTTTTTTTTTTATGGTGACTGGTAATGTAGGGCAAGAACATAGTTTAAAAATTTACAAAATCTTGCAGAATGGCGCAACAATTTAGAAACTTATCTCGACGAAACGTCGAAGAACATATTCATGTGGTACACAACAGTACGACGTGTATCAATAGAGGAATTTTTTCTATAACAGGAAATCTTCCAAGGTCTTACAGAGATTGGTCTAATAATACACGTACTTCAAACGAAAAAAAAAAAAAAAAATGATTCGTGGAAAGAAAAGAGTCAACAAAATTTCACAATGTATTTTAACAATAAAGATTTTCTTATCTGTTTTCATTGTTTCCAGAACAATATATCGTACGAAATGAAAAACGTAACGATTAATTAGCGTACGTCTTAATTAAGTCTTCATTTTTCACGATCGAACGAAAAAATGATCAATTATTCACCGAGTAATCTTATATACATGCAACTTGTTGTTCCTGGGCAATTCTAATTCTCGATATAGAAAATAAAACGTAAGAAATAATTTCATGAAATTAACACAGTATATAACATACTTGTTACAATGTTACGAATAGTTCATTATTAGTGCCGTATCAGTTTAACAATGAACCATCTACCAACGAATGTAATTTGAAAACATGAAACTCGAAAGAAGATTGCATTCGTACACGTACAGTGAATCGCATAACGTGAACATCTCTATTATTTTCATTGTTAGTGAATCAATCAACATTTTTTGCATGAGAGATAAGTCAGTTTAGAAGGAGCATCAAGGTCGCAACACTGCATTTCCTTCTCCGTTTTTTATAAGTTTCCAAGGATACTTTCAATTTTTTTTATATACAATTTTGAACGGTCCAGTAACGCTGAAAATAATAGAGGCGGTATAAGTGGAATTTCGTAATATTTATCATTCAAAGACATACGAATCGGATTAAATATCAAAACAGATTAATTTCCGCATAGGCTAAACTAAATATCCAATTTACATACATTCCATGATAAACATGTGTTCGTTCGACCATCGGCAATATTATCGTTAATATTACTCATCATACAGGCTTATTAGTAATAAGCATATTTATGCATCGAATGTATTTACATACACATGTGTTTAGATGTATCGATAATAACGAACGAATCTCGTCCAAATCGATTATTCTGAATTTATTTACCCGCTGTCTAAATGGCAACCTCGCAAATTTAGCTAATCGAATGCATCAATCGAAGACTCTAGAGAATAAATACACCAACATATATTAATCGCCGTTCACTCGTGAAACTGGACTAGTCGACCCTGGACCGAATGTGTATGGCAAGTGCAACCGCTTAAAAGTATGTAGTTCTTCACAAATTCCCGATCGAAACGATTGAAATGGCATGTACGAAATGCCCCAAGATACAAACAAAGTAAGATAAAAACAACGCCCGCAATCTCTTCCGGCATATCTTAAATTATCAGTGGTGGGGAGAGCAAGATAAACGGGAGTTTGCTTATTATCGATTAACCTTTTCTTTAAATATAAGAACGTATCAAATCATAAAATCCGTGATTCGAAATCAAAGTACGACCGATAAATTCGACGTTACAGATAAGATTTGCGTGGAATTCCTTTCAGAGCACAATCAATGATGGATTAAATACAAGAAATGTCGATTACTAGACTGACGTTTGGATGAAAAAACAATTCCTGCCAGTTTCAGAAGATCAATTCGTTTAGGGAGACATCAGGGTCGACAGATTATAATACTGAAATTTTTCAACAACACGTTACGCTGATTTTAAAAATTTTCTAAAATTGTTACTCCTTAACCTAATTCCAACAATCCAATACCACATATTGTTCAGAATGGATTATAGTTTTATAATGTATAGGAGTACATGTTTTGAAGACAGATAAATTTAATGATTTGTAATATATGAGATCATTCAGGAGGACACATAGGAGGCTAGGCTAAACTAAGTTAGATCAGTTGGTTCTAGGTTATGTATGACTAAGCATAAACGAGGTGGTGCACATTAACACTATAGGCTAGGTTACGTTTGGCAGGTGTACATTTAGTTTAGATGTAGTCTACAGAAATAAAGTTGCTAAATAGTTTATAGATAGAAAAAAGATGAAATATTTTCCATTATATTTTAAGGAAAAACAGGCACATGTTTGTGTCTAACAATAAGTGTAACTTATTCGATGAACATTTCTCCATGTCATTTCGTTTAATTATTTTCGAATGACGCATACTGCTGGAAACGTTGGAATATGAATTTTTTATGGATAAAAAAATGTGTGATTGATTCCCAAGATTACGTTTCAAATTCTAAATTAAATCTATTTACGTATAATTTAAGCTGAAATGTGTCAAGTTTAAAGTAAGACTTATTCTGAAGAAAGTTCTAACTAAATTGTTCGGACACAATCAAAATAAAATTTAAACGCAACTACAATTGAAACAGAATTGAATTTTAAGTAGATATATCATACATGTATGTACATATCTAACGCTAGAAACTATTATAATTTTCTTTTTAAAATTTGGTTTTTAACAACTTATATACAAATGTTTTACGTTTACACGTGTACGAAAGCAAAAATTGTTCAAGATAACTTTGTAAGGTAGAGGAATGAAACTTGCTAATTTACTATATCGTATGTAAAAATAATGTATTGACCGGGAATATAGCGATCTCGATTCGAGGTAATAATCTTGAAGATATGTAAAGATGAAAGTCTGATATCCTATGCAAGACACTGAATGCGTTTCTTATGTAATATAAATTGAATTTATGTAAAGTAACTTTAACTCGTCGACTGTACTCACCGGTGTCATTATCGTGCCCTTGAATTCCATCTCCCACATTCTCGGCGGCCGTGGAAAGAGCTGAAACCAAGACAAACAAGATCGTTCTACACTGTCATCTTTCTTTATCGTTTCTCGAACATAATTATTAATGCGTACCACGTTATAAACATACGCGCCCTAGAAAATAATGACAACCTTCCATGCTTGATGAATAAATGTTCAGGTTTAAACTTAGTATTCGCGTAATAGTAAAAAGTGCTACTAACGGTAACAAGGCTTTTTCCTTATTATGTATTTGTTTGAAGGTTAAAACCAAAATGTATTAACGATTGTAAATAAAATCCTATACGAATATTTTTATATTTACATACATGCTATGTTACCGGCAAAGCAGAATCCGGCAATGCATACGCTGCCTAGGCCGTGTATACTTACACTGGTTGGACTTTACACTTCGCTGCCTAACACATATCATATTTCGTGAAATACCCTAAAAAACTTTACACGAAATATGTCTCTATAAATAAAACATATAAACGTGCATACATTTCAAACTTGTCTACATTTTGTTCTATTGTACAATTTACAAACCTGGTCAACTGCAATATTAACTACAAGTACATACCCGTACAAATTTACTAGATGAGAAATTATAAGGCTGGTGTTGTTACAGTACACTTTGAAAATAATCGGGTGACCATACGTCCTTTATTTAAAAGGACAGTCCTTTATTTCTTTGCTCTGTCCTTTTTTTTCTAAAATGGCCATTTCGTCTTTTATTTTGTGAATTGAACATTGGAACGCAACACACAGCTCATAAAGACATGAAACTGTTGCTTATATCTCCCTAGATCTAATGCTCCCACTGAACAAGTATTTTCATTAGTGAACAATATGTGGACCAATGAAAAAACCCCAATTAAAAATCGGAACGCTGAAAGCATGCATTTATACCAAATGCAACTTTGACATGAATTGTAAACAGTTTTATACATTTCTAAAGCACAAACCTGATTTATTAAAAAAAAGTTCATTCTTATGAAAAGTATCAAAATTAAATTTTTTTTAAACATGAAACAATTTCTGAGTTGTCCTTTATTTTCTCCAAATAAATATGGTCACCGTAACTATACGGTATACATGGTCTGTTCCAAAAGTAATGAGACTACTTGCTTTATAATTCGGATTGGAACCCTGACAAAAAGCTACTACGATCTATGAAGCTTATTAAATTATTCAAGTTATATACCTACATTTCAATCAGTTTAGTTGATGCAGAGTAATTATCAAGTAAATAACAATGGACTCATTTCTGGAATAGACCACATATTATAAAGAGCTTAACTATTTCTAAGACATACACCTACATGTAAAATAAGAAAAAAGAGCATTGTACGCATAACAACAAGCAATTAAAACAATTATACAATAATAATTTAATATGCCTATAATCACATATATGTACATACATTTGTGCATTTTGAACATTCACAGACAAATTTTCTTTAGACAGTTGTTTTTACATTTAAACAAATTTAGAATGACATACAAATCTCAGCTATGGATTCCGCATAAATTAACAAAGACGAATTTACTCAGTAGGATTTCAATATGTAATTTTTCATAAAAATAAGAAAACAGTGATCCATTATAGAAATGATTAGTTACAGCACACGAAAAAATGGATTGTTTCTAACAATATTTAAAGTAAAAACTATTGGTCAAAACTAAGGTAATAATCCAGGTACTCCTAAAGCTATAGTCTGGGCCAAATGTATTGGCCGGTCACCGTATTGGTTTTTTTCTCTGCCGTTTTTCAGTTTCACTTTTACCATTCCTATAGAATCTTTCCGTTCAGCCCATTAGGGCCATTCACAATTTTCAACATCTTTCGAATTTTTAGTCAAATTTAAAGGCTTGATCATAATTTAATAATAATTTTTATTAACTATTGAAGGACACATATATATTACCCCCCACCACCCTCCTTTGATTACAGCACGCATCGTTACCGACATACTCTGTATGCACTGTTTTATCATGTCCTTTATTTTTGATTAATTTTGCCAAATATCCAGAACTTTTTTCTTTGAATCAGCTAATGTGGTGACTGGTGATGTATGTATGTATACACAAGTGTTTTAAGTAAACTCCAGACATTCTCAATTGGATTCATATCAGGAGAGTTGCCTGGCCATGGGAGTATGAGGATTTTTTTTAATGAGAGTAATTTTCTGACGGATTTGGCTCTACACGTGTGACACGGTGCCCCATCCTGCGTACATGTGTACTGGGATCTTCGTTCGCACACAGATATGTAATAATGCAGAAAAACAGCGTTTGACTTCCGTATATTGTCCAAATACGAAAGATGTTGAAAATTGCGAGTGGCCCTAATTTTTTGGCCAGGGGCTGGACATACGATTGCTATGCTGCGGCACGCATACACATACACACGTCCATACATAAAATTACACGCGATTAGATATAGCGATAGTAAGCAAATCACAACAATTGAAAGAGATACCGCTTGCGTTACAATGAATACCTAATGACGAAAATTTCTTTATGAAAATAGTACCAATATAGCACGATATAAATCGGACTGAACTTAACAATAATCAGTTTTAAATCAGCTTTAAAAATTGTCGTATATAGGTATATCTCGTGTTTGTTATCCGAGATATTTAAATTGATTACTGGAAAACTTATCCGATGTATGTCATGTTTGGACATATTTTTATCGGGACAATCTCATCAATTCGTTGGTACTACTTTTATAAAGATAGGATGAAAACTTAGAGAAACTGAAATTTTTTAAATTGGATGATTCATTGCAACGCAGGTGTCCCTTTCAAGTAACGCGTCTCGATAGTCGTTACTTGAGACGCAACATCTATCTCGAGAAAGCCTATGTCCAAGAAAAAAAAAAAAAAACAGATGAAAGACGTGTACCTTCATAAGATATAGGACGAAGAAAGCATATTACCTCTACAAGGAAAACAAAGATCGCGTTACAAAAACAGGAGGCCCATGCGCTCATGAAGTTTACTTATTGAACAACTATGTACATATATACAAGTGTCTTTCTTGGTAGAGTTTGTCAGTGTGGAAAAGCGACGGAGGTGAAATCCACATGACCGGCCAATACATTTGACCCCGACTATAGTATACACTTGAAGAAAGCATTTTGTGGGATTTGGAAGATGTATCTTATTCTGATCTTTTACTAGATAATCAAATAGTTAACATCGATGAATATTGTACACAATTAAATTTCGTGAAGACAGCAGTAAATGAAAAATCACTGCTATTAATATACAGAAGCGTCGCGTTAGCTGACCGGGATTTTGCCTTGATAACTGACTTCGTGGAATGAACCTGCGTATTACGCATCTAAAATAAACAAGGACCTCAATATTTCGTATCGGGTATCCGTAGTTCACTCGTACTCAGTGGAGAAGAAACATACTCGGGATTTTCTAGAACTCTACCTCCCTTGATAGTTGGCCAGATATAGTCCCGACCATGGTCAGCTAACGCGACACTACTGTACATAGACGAAGTTGGCAATGCCAGATAGTATTGTTCCTTGACAGAGTAACAAATTTTATTACGATTTGACTGAAATGTGTTGTCTCATCTACCACATTCACTGAATATTGTCCCATTTAATTTTTATTCATTTCAAGCTCTATGTAAGTTTCTTAACAGGGTATCATTAAAAAATACAGAGAATGTAAGAATGTCTTCAATTAATCTTTTTAAATTAATAATTAAGTAACATTGATTAGCTAGATAAAATTTAATTTTTATGTGAAAGGAATAACAGTTATTCCTATCTTCCTAGCATCCTTATCTTAAAAAAACATTCCAATGAAAATATGACATTTTTCAATTGTCAAGGTGACATTTCTTTCACTTGTTAATTTAGTATATCAAATTTTAAACTAATTATTCAGTATTTTGCATCAGAAACACAAATCCTTTTATTAATATACGCTTCTTTATTTTGATAACTTAAATGCGAGTTCATGAAGTTTTCAATGACTATATTTGTGTACCAAAAATTATACATGTATGAAGCAGTTTTTTTTTAAATGATTCTACGAAACTGAAAGGAGATACATATATAATAAGCAACAGAACGAACTCTACTAGACACAAATAAATATAAATTTAAACTAAATAACTTTTCAACGATCATAGTTTCCTCATTTTTCAAACAATTCCCATCATAATAAAGATGTCTCGTGTGTCTGCATTCTGAATATAAATTTTAATAATATGTAATTATAGCATATTCTCGATTAATTTTATTAGGATTCAAACAACTTTGGAAACTCTAAGACACGGTAAAATTAATTGTAACCATTTTCCAAAGATTGATTGGATAAATAAGCGGCTTATATAAACTAACTGAAGTTCAATTTATTCAGGACTTAAGTAAACTTAAAAAATAAACTAGTGAGAATAAAAGCATTGATAATATTTTTTGTTATACTTTTGTCTGACAAACATCGTATCATGAAATTTAAGTAAAACGATAAATCTTACAATAATGTGTTAATACTGTATCGGCATCTTTCCAGTCTTGCAATTAGATTGATTTTAATATTTGAATTGATTATGACATTATTCGTTGTTCATTTTGGTCATTCATTTATTTCTCTTCATTTTAGTTTAGTAACATATAAGGTCAATTTATAATGGAAATTCACTTTCATCTTATTTCCAGTGCTGGGTGTCCTTTAAATATTCCATAAACATTTCACACCAAATTTCCAATTTTCAGTATATAACGTTTTTTGTATATTGAAGAACCTCTTATGCTACTTACTTAAAAATATTAATAGCATAAAAACGAAAGCACTTTCCATGTTCGTTCTTGCATAAGTATGATATTAAATTTCATTCTTGACAACGGTACGTAGCTTGTTGAAAATATTTTAATTAAATATAAGTAAATAGTGAGCTTATTCTTTTATCTTTAAAATATTTCTTTTTCCTTTTGTGAATAGAGTAAATTAGCACCGTCAAATTAAACAAACTTAATTAGAGATATTATAATTCATTTG